GTGTGTGTGTGTGTGTGTGTGTGTACACGTGTGTGTGTGTGTGTGTGCAAATAGGCATGTGAAAACAGGTAACTAGGTTTAAGGAGCACGCAATGCAGGAGGAGGGGTAAAGCAGCGAAGCAGCAAGCAAGCCAAGTTGTTGGTAGTGGAAGCAAGCACGAAAACACCCACCTGTCTCTGACCTTGGCGGCGAGCTCCTCCGTCTGCCAAACGCCAAGATTGAGCCTGGTGCCTTTCTTTACTCTGGCCTGCCATCCTCTTTTCTGCCACGCGATCCCGATGAACTTGGACGTTCTCTTGGCCCCGTCGGTCCCTGCTGCCGTCTTAGAATCGAAGGACGAGGAGCATCCAGCTCCACCGTTTCCTCGAGCCTGATTCATCATCACCATGTCCATTCCCATCATGCTGTCCGGCGGGGCCACGGCTCCCATCCCGTTCCCACTCACCGCCCCCCCTCCTTGCATGAGCAAGGAACTGGCGAAGTCCAGCTTCGCATACTCCCGCAACAAGTTCCGCACGTCTGGGTGCAACTGATGGGAGTGGGAAGCCGCGACGCTGTGGTCCCCCAGTGCCAGGACGGCATCCGTCATCGTGCTCTCTGACCTGCATTCACCCGCTGCGCCGGCGGCGATGCCCATGTGGTGGGGTAACGTGACCGTGCTACCGGCTTCCCCCCGCCCTCCGCAAACCGCCATGGAGTCTGTACAAGGGGTTGACGTGGAGGGGCTCTCGCCCGTGGTACTGTACACCGCGGCTGCTGTGGCTGCATGGTGCCGAACGGCGGCTGCAGCGGCGGCGGCGACGGCAGCAGAGGTCACCGGGTGTGTCGGGTTGGCGGCATGGTGGGCATGGGCGTGGGTATCGGCGGGAGAGGCGTTCATGACGGCCTGCAACCAATCTGAAGCGTCCCGGTGGACGTGGACAATGCTGCTCAGAGAGCTCGCCACGTCATAAGGCGATCCGGGCCTCGGCTGCGAGCTTCCGCCGAACATCAGCGCTGCCTCGAGCGCTCCCGCCGAGGGGCAGGCGGTCGTCGACGTCAAGAGACGTGGATTATGATGCTGCATGAGGCGAAGACCGTCGTGATGAAGGTTCACCATGCAAGCGGCTGCGGCTGCTGCCGCATTCGTCGGCGTGCCCTGTGCCTGCTGTACTCCTCTTTCCCCTCCGCCTCCCCGCCCTGTTCCTCCTCCTCCTCCTCCTCCCGCAACGCCTGTCAGCGCGGAGAGATCGCTCACTGCGGGCTCTCCGGCCCCCCAACAGTTCGGCGAGCCGAAAGCGGAGCATGAGATAGTCGTTCCGCCCGACGCCGCTGCGGCTGCTGCCACGACCGCCATGTGAAGATAGTCGTCGTAGGAGAGAGTTTGCGGCTGTGCTTTCCGAAACAAGTCCAGGCTTGTGTAGCATCCCACGCTCGAGGAGGCGTCCGCTTGAGCGGCATGCTCGTCATGGGCGTGGGCGTGCTTCCCCCCGCCTCCGCCGCAGAACGCATTGCTACTGTACGATCTGGAGGAGTGCGGAGGCGATCCGTGCGGCTCACCGCATCCGGAGTTTCCCCGCGCTGATCTGCTGCTGTGCGGCAGAGCCGCCGACAGCTGCTGGATCAAGCCTGCCGCTTCACTGCAGGCCGCCACGTGCTCGCCGTAAATCACCACCGACCTCTGATCACTCCTCTCCGCGCCAAGCCGTGCTGCTGCGCTACCTAGATCCAGCGGGCCTGCCACACATTGGGAGTTCCCTAGCCGCCCACTTGTCTCGCACGATGGCGAAGAGGGATCCACGTGCGATGCCGGATGGACCCACATAACTCCGGCGGCCGCCGCCGCAACGCTCATCGCTTCGTCGTCTTGCCTCGTGGGCGAACCACTCGCCGCTCCGAACGACAGCTCAGCCGTGCCCCCCCCTTGCAGTCGGCCGTTGATGGCCGCCTTTATCTGCTCCCTGATCGCTTCGTTAGCCGATAAGCTCTTGATGACACGATCGGCTTCCTCAAGCTCGTCCATTGCGGCTGCCGACGTCGATGCCACCATCACATCTTTCAAACCTTCCCATTGCCTCGCCGCGAGTCGGTACTCCCCGTCCTCCCCCTGCGCCTCCCCATGCAGCTGCTGAGGGTGAGGCGACCGATGCTGACTCGGATGGCTATGATGCTGACTGTGATGATGGCTACGACGCTGCTCACCATCCAATTCCATCGATTGTTGTTTGTGACCAAGACCCCCCTCCATATCGCAGCACTCCGCGCGCAGCGTGGCGTCGCTACCGCCGAAAGCCCTTCTCAAACTTTCTTCGTGCATGGGGTTTTGTGCAGTGGTTGCCATCTGCGCTCCCAGAAGAGGAGAGGGTTCTGTACACACGCTGTTGCTGTCCGTCACCCTGGCACTACACAAGCCCGGCGCGACGTCGGCGACTCGGCCGAGGCCGACGCTGGAGTCCCTACGAGGATGGAAAGCCGACGGGCTCCCCACGTCAATCGCCCCCGACGACCCTGTCGAGTGACCAAAGAACAAGCCTCCTCCTCCTCCTCCTCCTCCTCCTCCTCCGGCTATCCCTATCGCCCCCCCTCTTCTGTGGCTACCTGCACTCGTCCCTAAGGCTCCTCGCATTCTGGCAGCCGCCGCCGCGGCTGCAGCAGCAGCAGCGGCTCCTCCCGTCTCCATTGGCATCTCTTCTGGACCTGCGACGCCGCCCCCCATCAAACCTTCCATACCACAAGACGATGATATGACTCCCCGCGTGGAGTTCAAACCGCAGCCATCGCCGCCACTGCCGAACCCGAACGTGTCCGACGAAGAGAACACGACCGAGCTCATCGTGCACATGTCGTTGCCCCCGAACGCCGCCGGATCCCCAAACACTCCTGGTGCTCCATCTTCCCCTCCCTCTCCTCCCACTCCCACTCCCACTCCCACTCCCACTCCCACTCCTCCCCCAACAACGCGCCCAACACCGCAACCAACATGATTCCTTACGGCGCCAATCAACGGCCGCGCACCCATACCAGTCGCGTTGGCGTTTCTTTCGCCGCCCAGAGAAGCAGCGAGCGGCGACACGCCTACTTCGCCATCTTCTCCCATCGTCCTGCTCCCCCCGCTTACATCGAACCTTGACGTCGCCGCACAGGACGGTGACATTCTCCCTGTACACCTGGGACTCGAGCTCAGATCCCTCATATCGATCGCGGCGCTCGAGCTCTCGGCACTTGATCCCGTCCGTGATAGCAATCGACAAGATGACCCATCCGAGTGCTGATCCATTTAGCACGAGTGACAGTGACTCAGCCCAAGAGCTCCGGTCTCCTCACCGACGACGACCTACATACACACACTCACTCAATCGGTCGACATATCTAACGATAACGACCACAAGCCAATGACGGCGAGGCAACCAGCCAACCGACCAGCCAGCCAGCCAAGCAGGGAAGCAAATTGATTGATTGAAAAAGTCACTTGCTACCTCCCTACTGGACCCTACAGCTGCTGCTTCTGCTACACGCTCGGACCCCTCCCTTTTCTCCTTCTCTCTTCGTTCAGAGCCTTCTTCTAAAAATGCACCATGGACATGGACGTTGCCAGCGCGCCGGAGTTGAAGGAGCCCGCTCGCGGCTGAATCATCGGCCACATTATTCGCTGTCCGCCATATCCATTTGCAGGGATTGATCGAAGATTCGCAATGCCGTCAGTGGAGGAGGAAAAGGAGGAGCCCTACAGGCTGGACAGAGAGCGGGGCTGTGAGAGGCAGAGAGAGAGAGAGAAGAGGGGGAGGGGGGGGGGGGACAAGAGCGCGGATCTCATCACGCTGCGGAAGTGCAGTCCCAACAGAACGAACAGAGAATTAATCAGCCTAAGACGACGAGCTCTACGATGGTAATCATTTCCACCTCTAGAGAATCGCTATCGCAAGAAATAATCGGACAAGGTCTGACGCAATTGTCACCCTGAAGCCCTCCCGAGAGGTCCGGGATGGGCATTCGACTCGGGCAAAGGCCCTTGGCCGATTGAACCAGGAGTCCTATTGTACGCATTCGGCCTTGGCTGACAGCAGTTGTGTCTGCCGTTTATCTTATTGTCACGCTTCATGCTGTCAGCAGGAAATGGTACGGTGCTCCTACTTTTTCGTCGTCGTCGTCGTCGTCCTCGTCGTCGTCGTGGTGGTGGTGGTGGTGGTCCTGTCCTCTGCCTCGAGAAGGCGAGGAGATCGGCGTCCAGTCACGCTACGTTCCAGTCCGACGTTCATCTCACAGGAATGTATGGAGGCACAGAGAAAAGAATCTCACAAATCCTTCCGCGGGTGTATAGCCAACGCCGAATGCCCCCACCAGGCCGCCTCTCGCGTAATCCATACCGTCCGTTTACGTCACTCGACAAAAACGCCAAGGCGGGTTAACTAAGCGCTACGTCGGAGGAGGGGAAGACAGCTAGCTTAGCTAGTTCACAGAACTAGACTTGCACGAGGCTGTTGTCCCGCGCCAGGCAGGCAGTGGCTCTCCCTACTGCCAAATCTATCGTTCAAAACGGAAAAAAGCAGGAACGAGCGAGCGAGCGAGCGAGAGAGAGAGAGAGAGAGAGAGAGAGAGAGAGAGAGAGAGAGAGAGAGAGAGAGAGAGAGAGAGAGAGAGAGAGAGAGAGGGATTTTAAGGGGGCGACGGAGAGCCTCCGTGAGGTTGCATTTGATGGGCTCCAGGCGATCAAAAGTAGCGAGAGTTTCAATTCCAGGAGGACCATTTTCATTGCCGGGACCCCAATCGGTGATGTGCAGCCAATTGGGTTGAATGTTCATTCGTCGTACATTCACACAAAGACTATTGTCGACGGACCACTAATCCCTGCTCGGACTGCTGCTCGTCCGATTTGGTGCAAGCCTCCTCCTTTTTCTGCCACGTCCCTCTCGGCGATCCGCAGCAGCAGTGGGAGCACTGCCAGTGGGAGGGAACACATGCGCTTTTTCTTTTTTTTGCCCGGCACATGGTTGGTCTTTCGGACTCTTTCCGCCTTCAGCTGTCTGGCTGGTCGAATGTCTGTTTTGAACCAGCACTGCCACAGTGCCACAGTGCCACAGTGCCACAGCGGCACAGCCCGTGAGGTCTCGGTCTTTTTTTTGCTCTTTCAGGTCTCGGTCTTTTTTTTGCTCTTTTTTCCCCCGCAGTGAAACGCGGAGGCAGAAGATAAGCTCGTCGGAGGAAGGTTGGAAACAAAACTCCGAAAAGTTTTCGAAACCAAAAGAAAATAAATCGGACAAAAAAGGAAAAGAGACAAAACCAAACCCTTGGAAAAACGATTCTTAGGGCACGCTCGCACAGTTCCGTGCCCAGGTCTGGACGTGATTGCCATCACGCTCATCCACCCCGGGCTCTGATTGCGGTCAGATACTTCCAGAAAAAGTGAGAGTGTGAGCATGGCCTCGGAGAGAGATAAGAGGCAGATCCGTAGCACCCACCGAAGATAAGGGAGAGAGACCGCTGTCAATAACAGAGAGCGTGCGGGGCGTGCGGGGCGTGGAAGGGGGCGTGTAGCACTGCCTACAGTGAGTGCTACACGCCCCGCAAGTGCACACACATTTTCGTTCCGACACAGGGGCGTGTAGCACTGCCACTGCCTTTCCCTGTTTCCCTCCTTTTCTATCGCCACTGTTGGCTTTTCGCCCACTTTTCTCTTGTTTTTTTCCTTTGAATTGTTTTGCTGTTTCTGCCTCTCATTTATTCCCGGCATGAATGTTGCCCAACCTCCAAAAAAAAAAAAAAAAAAAAAATGTTGCCCATCCATCCAGGTTCGGACGACCTCGGCAGTCCCCTTCGGGCAGCCAGGTTTGCGGGTACCCACGGGCCACGGGCCACGGGCCACCGCAGGTCAAGCCTCCAAAGACCCCATTCTTGGCCATCGGAGAGAGAATGGAGGCACAGCCTCGCCCGCACGGGATAGACACAAATGGCGGGAGCGTGAACAATGAATGGGATGAGGCCGTTGACAAAAATGACACACTGCAAGCTGAAGCCCGCCTGCTCTCGCGCACAACAGCAAGGTTTCAAACAAGCCTTCCGTATCAGCCGGGTCTGGGGGTCCGGCACTAAGGGACGGAAGGGTCCGACTCGCTCGGCCAGGCGGCAGCCAAGTGTCCATGATGATCCTACCGGCGTCAATACAAGGACACCCCTCCTCCCTCAGCATTCTTCCCCAATCGGTTATCCCCTGTTATTGCTTTCCAAAAAAAAAATATGAAGAGCGGACAATGACAGGCAGCCAGAGTTTACAGACGCACGCACGTACACAGACACACACACACACACACACACACACACACACACACACACACACACACACAGAGAGAGAGAGAGAGAGAGAGAGAGAGAGAGAGAGAGA